ATTCAACAAAGCGCGATCTATCAAAATGGGAGTACAATGAAAGACGCCGTAAAAGCACTTCCTCGTGTGCTCCATCGCAATCGGAGTACACCGAAACAGGTCGCCGGGTGGGGCGTAAAAGCACTTCTTCGTGTGCTCCACCGGTATGGGATTACAGGGAAAGAGGTCGTCCGGTGGGGCGTAACAACAGTTCTTCGTGTGCACCGACAAGCTCATCTTCTCAACATTCAGATGAGCCGACAGGTGATTTTTTTTTCTTATTTATTTGTTTATGTTGAACGATAACTAATTATGTTTGTAAGTTCGATTATCTAATTTGTGACGTGAAATTATTATGATATTACAGATACTTTCTCGACGGTTTTCTATGAATATCCGCATTATTGGAGAATTCCCTACGTAATCCACCCTTACGTAGAGAGCTATCTGAATGTGACGCCGGATGGGAACTGCGGATTTCGGGTGGTTGCGAGTTACATGCACATGAACCAGTTGAGGTGGCCAGTGGTTAGAAGGAACATTGCAAATGAGATTGTAGCCAACAGACAGTTGTACGATCCTGTGTTTTACTATGAAACCGACAGAGCACTCGATCGAATAAGATGGGAAGGGGGGCCTTGTAACGAGGAGCATTGGATGGAAGTTGTAGGTGACTTCTTTGCTATTGCTACAGTATATAATGTACTTGTGGTGTTGTTAGGCAGTGGTGACAAAAATGACAATATCGATTTCAATAGCATGACATTTTTGCCGTTGTGCGCACCATCCACGGCTACAAGACCCGACCGCGAGATCGCCATAGGTCATCTTGGTTCTTACAAACACTTCATTCGTCTGAATCTGTCATCTGATTGTCCATTACCGCCTATGTGTAACCTTTGGCGGACATTCCGAGATGCGACGGTTGCAGGATGGGATGATCAGTATCAGACAAGGATCGAGTATTGGCGGCATATTCGTAGAGGAACTGGAGTTTGATATATTATGATATTCGACTTATGTTTGTTGCGATTGATGACATTCATTATATTATTCTGCATTATGATAGATATATTGTGATATTTGACAGTGTTTACCGTTTCACGTGATATTATGGAATTTTTGAGTTGGATTGTGGTATAACATTTGGAAATAAATGAAAATAAAATGAAGCAACAACAGTTAAAAAAAAAAGAAAAGAAAAAAACAATTCAAATAACATTCATCGTACAACAAAATCCAAAATAAAATAAAAAAATATATATTTATTACATCAACGCTGCGCCCTTTCCCAATCCGCCTTAATTAGGGCCAGCGTATCTGCATGACGCGCCGCCACAGCAGGATCAACAACCTCTAAATCCCGCAGGAGGTCTGATGATGCGGAGAATAACCGATTCACCCACTACACATAAAAGCAGAAGTAAAAATATTATCACATATATATTAAAAAACGACTTACTATTTTAATGAAAGCACAATAACTAAAATTTGGTAAACGACTTACATAACCGGTGTTGGCGCGCGAAGGGACGGCTTCGTCGTCCGGCAGACTGTCAGGCAAGAGTCTAGGATGAGAAAACTGATCGTACCATTGCTGGTACTGCTCATGGGCCTCCCCTGGATCATCTGCGGTGGTCGGAGTACAATGAGTCAAGTTTATAGAATGCAGCTGCGGGAACTGGTCCCAGTGATCCGCTGCAGTAGTAATGGGATGCTCAACCCTGTACAACCTAGAGTTCCAGGCACGGACTGCCTTGAGCGGACGATCTATGCGGGGAGGGACAGTCTGCACGTAGCCCAACTGACGCAACCACCGCAGAGGCATGTACGGCTCCACAATATCCCGGTACCTAAGGCATCCGTTATAAAGGGTCCTAGGCTCGATGTCATGTGGCCGGCGGTCGTAGGGCAGCCAGTTCACCTGTTCACAATTGCATAAAAACATTTATTGAAACAATTCAATTATTCCAAATAACTTTCAACTAAATGTAAATAAAATAACTTGACGCACCTCGGCGGCGGTGAGAATGTCAAGCTGCCTACGGAAAGCTTTGAGGCGCGCATCTGACCTCTCTGTCACCGCCACGCTCCACGAGGCTGATCGGGCGACACAGCCAGGCTCGGGGATCATACGTGCTCGCTGGGGTCGGAAGGTGGGGAAGTACTCGTATATCCAGGACTGCATGAGAGTCAAGCAGCCAGACACTCCCTGTGAGTCCCCCCTGCTGGCAATACCTAACTGTCTGTACAGGTATGCCAGCGCAGCCGAGCCCCAAGAGTAAGTCCCAACTTCCCGTACGTTGTCCATCATCTCGTGCAGGAGTTTGGGACTGACCCTGTTACCACTCTTGTCCACAAACAAGGTGGTACCGAGCAGCACCCACAACCAGCCAATAGCCACATGCTCAGCCGACCGAGCTGCGCCATTCTTTATCAATGCTTCAAAAACGGCTTGATTTGTCACAGACCCGTGATCCCAAAGACGCGTCATCAGATGACTCTGGTCCACCCCGAGGATCTCCATGCAGTTCGACTGGCAGGTCAGGCCGTCGGGGTCCACACTGACAACCGCTGCATCCACAGGAACACCCAAAATGGCCCTCACGTCGTGCAGCGTGATACTCATTTCACCAAAAGGCAGGTGAAACGAGTTGGTATCCGGCTGCCAGCGCTCCACAAATGCAGAAATGAGTGGAGTGTCGTGAGTATGCATGCTGGATGCCAAATGTGACAGCCCGGTCTGAACGATCATATCACGCGCATCCTGGAGCCCCTCAATTCACCGTGCGCGCCCTGCCTGTTTTGGCATTTAAGCATGCCTCTGAACTCTCCAGTCCACATACGGGAGGCTACGTGCCCTAGAAAACTAGGGATAACACTCCCATCAACGGGGCCACCGGGCACTGGGGCTGCAACGATCCAGGGGTCAGTCTTCGGCCATTTGCTACTCGCACCTGTATTAGAATAGAACAATCAATATATATACGACATATTGTGACTGACCGTATCAATTATTTAATAAAAAAACATATAATGGTAAACAACAATAAATACGTAAATCATTTACCTGAGGAAGATCCAGCGCCCGCAAAACGACCCCCACCTTGTCGTGGAGAATTAACTCCAATGAGTCTTTTACCTGCACCGGCTGCAGGTGCAGGTGCAGGTGCAGGTGCAGGACCCTGTGGCCGCTCTGGCTGTGCCTGTGGGTCAGGAGATACAATGTCCTGCTCAGCTGCCACATAGTCGGAGTCAAATGTCTCGTCATCCCCATCACCATCATCATCATCATCATCATCATCATCATCATCATCATCATCATTCGCCGGAGTTCTGACTGCCGACTCAGAAGAATAACCCTGCGACCGAGTGATACGTATCCGAGGGAGACGTTCCAAACTGGCATGTACGAGTGGCCCAGACTGCTGACCACTCTGTATCGGACGAAGGAGACCTCCCGAACTGCCAGCCATGACTGAGCCGGACTGCCGACCAAACTGCTGACCACTCTGTATCGGACGAATGAGACCTCCCGAACTGCCAGCCATGACTGAGCCGGACTGCTGACCGAACTGCTGACCACTCTGTATCAGAGGGGGACCTCCCGAAGTGGCAGGAATAAGTGGCCCTGACTGTTGACCGATCTGTATCGGATGAACGGGAGGTCTCAAACCGCCAGTCTGACCAAGCTGTACCAGGAGAGCCTCACGACGCCTCTCCTCCATCTCCCGCCGAGCGGAAGCATCCACACAACGACTATACGTGTGTCGGGGTCCAGAACCCTCAAACTCGGCAACATGCTCATCCTATTAATTAGTAAACAAAATTTTTTAATTCATTAGTATAAAATCATAAATTGATCATAAAATTATAAATAGTAGTATAAATTATTAATATAATTCAATTATTAATATATTTTAATTAATAATATATATACATACATATATTATTATTATTAATATCTTTTTTTCTTAATAATTTTTTAATTCATTAGTATAAAATTATAAATTGATCATACAATTATAAATTATATTAATATAAATAATATTATAAATTGTTAATATATTTTAATTAATAATATATACATACATATATTATTATTATTAATATCTTTTTTTCTTAATAAT